TCAACGAGTATGTTGTTGGTAAATACTCTTCTGATAGCCTGCTAGGTCTAGCAGAGTCTAGTCGTCTTTCCTTACTATAAGGGACCATGAAGTACAATATAGTAAAAAATGAAAAAGTACAATGAAAATTTCTGTTGTTTGTGAACTTATTCGTTCTTTTCCAGCCGTCCTGGAAAACAAAAATAGTATGTAAGTGCATGTCGAAATACATTCGTACGCGCGTAAAAACACAAAGCGGGCGAAAAAATGGAAAATAAACTGATGCTCACGTAATAGCGTAAAAAAGGATTTTTATAATATGGTTATATCAAATTATATTATATTATGTTTGCTTTTTTATTTATAAATAGTACAAGTAAAAATCGAGATGATATAAAATGTCAACTAGCATCTTACGTGCAATTATCGTTCAAATGTTCCGGAAATCTTTCTACTCTTCCAGAACGCGCTGTTTTTCAAGTTTACTTTCTGATACCGCCGAAGTATCATCGTGTGTGTTGGTTGTCGATTGTAGTATTATAAGTGCAGGAGTCGTGTCGTGCGATTGTACTGAAGAAAAATCGACGTGAATAGGATTTCCCTCTAAATACGCTGCTATCGTCGGTTCCCTTCTTATCGATTATATAGTACTTCGGTTTGCGTTGAAGAACTTTGAAAGGTCTTTCGTATGCTGATTTGAAAGGTCGTCGATGAGAGTCTCGATGTACGAAGACGTGTGTACTATATCGTAAGTCAGGTTGAACTAGTGGAAACAGGTTTAACTGAACGCATTGCGTTTGCAAGTCTGTTCGTGTAGGAGGTTAGATCCATGTTCATCGAAGTGGATGAAGGATCCACGAATTCTCCTGGAAGTCGTAGGGTCGTATCATAAACGAGTTGAGACACAGTGTATCCAATGACAGCTTTTACTGTATTGCGAATACCTAGTAAGACGAGTGAAAGAGCTTCAGTCCACTGACAAATGTTTAAGGCTGATAGTGACGCTTTTAGTTGTCGGTGAAAACGTTCTACCAACCCGTTTGCTTGTGGGTAATAGGCCGTCGTTCGGAAGCGAGTGATTCCTAATATTGCGGTCAGACAACGGAAACGTTCAGATTCGAACTGGCGTCCACGATCTGTAGTGATTGTTGTTGAGAAGCCGAAGTGTACTACTCATCGTTCGACGAAGGCGCGAGCTACTGTTTCAGCAGTAATGTCTTTGATGGGTACTGCTTCTGGCCATCGAGTAAAACGGTTTACGCAGGTTAAAAGATAAGAATATCCATTGGAATCTGGTAAACGTCCTACCAAATCCAAATGGACATGGTCGAAGCGAGCATCGGGAGTTTTAAATGAGCCTAAGGGAAATTTGTTATGTCTAATAACCTTAGATTTCTGGCAACTTACACAGGAGCGTTCCCACTCCCTCACGTCTTTATTCATACCACGCCAGAAAAACCGTTCTGCTATAAGCTTGATGGTTGCAGGAACACCTGGATGAGAGAGTCTGTGCAAAGTATTGAAGATGCTGCGTCGACATTGTTTCGGCATGATTGGGCGATCTCTACCTGTAGATGTGTCACACAGTAAGGCTTCTTTACCTGTTCACATCTGTTTAATGTGCAGTTTAAGTGTTGTTGAGGACAACTCGTGCTGAAGATCAGTGTCTTCTTTTTGAAGCTGGGTGAGTTTCAGAAGGTCGATTCCTTGGAAACTGTTCAAGTAAGTTATTCGAGACAAGGCGTCTGCAACCACATTGTTTGCTCCAAAAATGTGTTGAATATCTGAAGTGAACTGCGAAATGTAGTCCAGTTGTCGAGACTCACGAGGTGAGTAGTTGTCTGAAGAAGAGCTTGAAGAGAAAGAGTGGTTTATGGTCAGTAAAAAGGGTGAATTCTCGGCCTTCTATAGAGTGTTGAAAATGCTGTACAGCACAATACATAGCTAGGAGCTCCCTACCGAATGTGTTATACCTCGACTCAGTGTCTAACAACCGTCTAGAGAAAAATGCCGAAGGTTGCCATGAGTGGTTAACCCATTGTTGTAAGACTGCTTTGATTGCTGAGTCGGATGCGTCTACTGCGATACTAATGGGAGCTTCAGGGTCCTGATGAGCAAGCATGGTTGCTTGAGAGATACGTTCCTTAACCGTGGAGAATGATTTTCGTGCGGTGTCATCCAGATTGATGGATTTCGCATTTCCACGAAGTTGGTCGGTAAGGGGTTTCATAAGTAACGCGCATTTCGGTATGAATCGTCTATAAAAACTTACCAGACCGTTAAACGTGCGCAATTGCTTGATGGTGGTCGGTTCTGGGTAATCCAGAATGGCCGCCACTTTCGTTCTAAGGGGTCGAATGCCATGCGCATCTATAGTGTGTCCTAAGAAGTCTAAGGATTCGGTTCCGATTTGGCATTTCTGAATGTTTACGGTAATGCCATGTTTTTGTAGTCGGTCGAGAACAAGGTCCAGATACTGGAGATGTGATTCTCTGTCCGGACGTGCTATTAGACAGTCATCAACGTATGCATGTACGAAGTTGAAACCTCGAAAAACGTCATCTATGAACCTTTGGAAAGTCTGTGCCGCGTTTCTCAGACCGAAAGGCATTCGCGAAAATTCATAGAGTCCGAAGGGTGTTATAATAGCGGTTTTTGGAATATCGTCAGTGCCATAGGAATTTAGTTATACGATTTAACCAAGTCGATTTTAGAAAAGACAGTTGTACCTTTCAAGGTAGCTGTCAAATCGTGAATGTGAGGCAACGGGTAACGATCGGGAATGGTTTTTGCATTTAATCGTCGGTAGTCACCAGTTGGAAGCCAATCTTTGCTGTCCTTTTTAGGGACCATGTGCAACGCAGATGCCCATTGGCTGTTTGACGGTCGCATGATTCCTAAGTCTATCACATGGTCGAATTCGTTTTTCGCCAACCTTAACTTTTCTGGGGCCAGTCGGCGTGCTTTGAGAATACAGGTGGTCCTGTAGTCGTTAAGTAATGTGTAACGTTGCTGGTTACACACGGCAATTTCGGCTGCGACTGGTAAATGCCAGATTACTTATCGAGTAATGGTTGGTAGAAGGGGTCTATAGTGTTCCTAATAGTTATGGAGATAACCTGCAACCAGAAAAAGAAGTCAGGCATACAGATAAATTAGTATTTCCGTATACTAGCCTCCGTTCGCGCATGTCGATAATTCAGGGTTTTTTCAATTTCTGGTGGACTTTCCATACTGGTTATGATATCAGCATCAGTCAGGATTATCCGCCTCTCGAGGTCTAGATACAGACCGCTTACGTGATGTGCTTCTTCGTGGGCTATGTGACCGTTTACAGCCGTTACGAAGTTGAAGATAACGCGTAAGTGTATGACATAACTCTGTCATGTCATTCTGGGTGGTTTGAGGCTTTTCTTTGACTGAAAAAACCTCGGCGTAAGAAGATCTAGTGATTTCGAGGATACGGTCGGAAGATTCAGCCAGCTCGTCTACGGCATTATTTTGGAACGAGACCAGAACAGCTTGCATCTGTTGAGGAAGTTTTGATAAGAAATGTTGTTTGAACAGGCCATCATCGAAGGTTCTTTGGCCAATAACTTCTCGCATTCTTTGCAACATGTCTGTGGCAGAACGGTGTTGCAGGTCGATGTTGTTGAGGAATTGGTCTAACCATTGTCCATCGGTTAGATCTCCGCGTTATTGATGGCATGTTTGGGGGTTTCGTATGGTTCAGAAACATCACTACTAAACATACTAGGTGTTACGTACCTGTTGAGTTCGCGTGGTAGTGCCTTGATTACTGCGAGGAATTGTGCGCGTGTGTCGTTCTTACCATGCTTGTGGAATTCGGCTTCAGCGTAGTGAAACCAGGCTTCGATGTTGTCTGGCCAGAAGGGCATAAGTTGGAAGGAAGTTGGGGACAAAGTCTTTAACTTAAATACCTTAGGTGTCTGTTCAGTCACATTAATATATCAAGTACGAAAAATGAACGAGTGGGAAATATATATATCCAAAAACACGGGAAAGAATATCACAATGTATAAAAAATTAAAATAAGACAATAATATTTAAAATCACGAAAAGGAACATACTCACAGTTTGCGATTCGGTGTACCAGATCACGTCGGGCTCACCAATGAAGATGCCACAAGTATTCAGAGTTTGACAACGCTTTAACCAGTAACACCTTCTCATATGAATCGTACCAACCAAGTGAAGTCAAAAGACAGAAGAGAGGAGGTTCGAAGATATATTTGATAAGCTATCAATATATCGAGGATCGTCTGAACTAATCTGGTTAGCGATTGCGGCAGATGTTGAGCACGGTGTTCCCACACGTGATCTGATGCGGATGCTTGATCGAGCGCCTTCAGCTAGATGAGTCCACTATAACTGTGATCAGAATCCAATGTCGAAAACTTACAGAGCTATTTATTTTGGGGATTTATTCACCTCTACACTGCGTAGAATGGGATGAGTTGAAAATTAGGGACGAAACAGTCTCAATCTCTGAAGGCTTGAGTGTGTGTTCTGAAACAGTAATGAAAAAGCCATGATCATACAAGATAATCTGAGAACACAAAAATAACATAACGATGTGTAGAAAAAAAAATATATATAGTGTCACAGTAGGGAACAGATACAGTTTATCGTTCGGTGTATCAGCTCACGTCGACTCCACTACTTACTATGCGACGGATGTTCAGGGCTTCTTGACGCTCTTTCCTGTAAAACCTTTATAATCAAAGGATATCGACCCAGTAAAATCAGAAGTTAGGGATGAATGAGCTTGAAAACATAGGTGGAAGTTTGTCGATATTCTGAGAAGTGTTTGATCTAAGCTGGATATTAGTTGGGATGGATATGCAGCACGTTGTGTGCAATCTTTGGCTTTGAATATTGAAGGAAATGCATGCATTTAGCACTTTTGCAAAGCTTTGATAACTTGGTGGTATTATGTTTAACTTCAGTCATTGTTTTTCCTGGCGGGTTCGTTGTCACCTTGGGGACTACGTATTCGACTACATGTTCGCATCGCGTTAATAACCTGGTGATTTCGTCGGATCGATGCTGGAAAACCTTGGGATGTTGGATTCTCCTTCTAGCGACCCAAATACTTTGAAGAAAGATGTGTCTGACCTGATGGCAGATGCACGTAAATCAAGGAAGGCAGTTTTTAGACGAACGATCGATTATAATGCTTCTGCTATCAATTACCTTCAAAACAGAATTTGGGTCAGTAGGGACTTAGACCGTCCAATGCTTCAGCCGGATTACTTGTGGAGTCCTAAGGTAATACTAGGTGGTGTTTTTCCTACTTGTCAGTTGTGTCCTCCTAGGAGCTACATGGATTCTCCCATGAATTGCGTCATGTCAAAGCCTGTTCGTACATCTACTAATAAAAATAAATGCCCTATATATTGCGTTTGTGTAAGTAAACATTTTTCTCATTGTTTCGTAGTGGACACCTGAAGGGAGGCGGTTGATAACAGGAGCCTTCAGTGGTGAATTTACTTTGTGGAACGGTTTAACGTTCAATTTCGAGACTATTTTACAGGTGAGGCGTTTTATTTGTTCGTGTTAATGACGAGTCTACGGGTCCTGGTTTTGTAGTCGTTTTGATCCCAAATGAATCCTTAGTTACCAAGATTATCGATATCACCAGTTATCTTTTCGTGAACATTGTTGAATAATCATCATGCCCGTTAAGGAAGGGCTAGTTCAAACTCTCAATACGCTTCGACACTGTGTACTATTATATTCTTAATGTAGACATTAAGTTTGGTGCTAGAATCTCTTTTGTCATTAAACGTGTTCCATTGTTTCAGTTTTCACATACTCTATTCTATGTTCCAGTGTATAAACGGCTTACAAGAATAAGCACTGCATGCCTTGTCTTCAGTGCAATGGTCCTCACAATTTTCTCAGTTTCATTGTTATTTGGATGTTCCGGTTGCACTCTAATCCCGACCCACTGTTTAGATGAAATGTAAGACTAGTCTTGTCACATACTATCCGTCTCGGGTTCATAGTATATCTAAAACTTAAGTTGTTTTTCACTCCGATCGTTCTAAATATTCCTTTCATCACATGTTTATTCGATCTTTTGAAAGCCATTCTCGTTAATCTTGTATCATGAAAGATCCCATGGTACTAACTAATCCGTCGCATTTGTGCTAGTGATAAATATCCACCATGTAACCAGAAGATGCTTTTATTTATTCCTACTAGTTCTTTTATTCGTTGTAGGCCGCTTGTTTATGATCGCTGTGTAACTGCCAGACAATCTATTTTTGTATATTTACTAAGAACGACAGTATAAATCAATCAATTTGTCCAGATGTACCTATATATATAATTCTATGAGTTTCAATCTTCATTCATTTATGTTTTATTCTAACAAAGTTTTACTCGGCCCTGGTACGGCCGAGAGTGGGGTGGGTTCGCCCTCCCTCTCGAAATACTCTCACACGGCCACGCGTATACAGCCTCTGCCAGAGGAGTCCTACTCACTGCCTTCTCGTGGCGGGGCTGTTTAAGAAAATGAGAGGACGAAAAGCGAATGTCCGGCGCTTTAACCGGATCCAAACCAGTCGTGCACATGGGCTTTAGTATCTCGAGGGAACAAATGGCGTGTTAACCAATCTCTTGGTCGCCGGCTTCCATGGGACTGCATCTCCTCACGATGCTCCACTGCCTTGTGGGTTAGACCTTTAGGTCGAAGTCTCGGGGTGTGGCCCCCTAAGAGAACCACCTGTTTCGGTTTGGGCTCCCGGGCAGTATCTCAGTCCACACATAAAAACAATAAACAGTCTACCTATTGTGTGGCGCATATATATTTGGTGCCCCTGCACCAATATTTGTGTGTTCAAATAAATAAATAGTTGCAGTCGGGAATGGAATCATGTTTCTCTTTATCCTTGTTTTTGCTTGTTATTTCTGACGTGTGACGGCATCCTCCTAATTAGGTTCTTATTTATTATACTTGGGATCTTGTATAAATTTCATGGGAAGTCATTAGTACCCAGGGCCTGCCGTTCCAACCAAATTTCCACTCGGAAATATTTTTTTGTGAGACTAGTAAAACATTGGTATTTATAATTGCGCGTAGGATGTGATCTTCATGTATTTTTACGCTCCACTTCTGGCTCAAAAGACCTATCAGGCATGTTTATCATATCACATTTAATGCTTAAAAGATACCACTTAAGGGATTTCGGGTTGACATTTTGAAAAGACAAACCTCTTTTGTGGATAGTTTCTGGTTGTACTTATCTGAGTACCTCTGTTTTGTTAATAATGATTTTGTTCTTGGACTGCGCGTATACTATGTAACTCAAATGGATTGACTAGGATAAATAACGGTAATTCTTCGTCACTTTCAGAAGCCTTTTTTTCGGGGAGATGTTGATTAGCTTTCCATTAGATCGTTTTCCTGTGTAAATGCCTACCTAGGGTGATAACCTAAGTTGCATATCCACATATATTTATTAAGTTACATATTTTATGTATAACCCAAATGTATTTTCTAGCTTTCATTCCCGGAGGATCCTCGCGCGTAGTTCTGTTTGGTATTTGCACTAGGTTTGTCTTTAAACATGAATTAAGTTACCGTTATTTCTAACAGATTTGTTTCGGGCGTTGTAAATGTGAAAGTTTACTCAAATATTTCTTCCACAAGTGTCGTTTCATTACTTATTGATTAGGCTACCTTGGTTTCTTATTTATTAATTTTACGGTGAAACTTATGTAGTGAGTTATTGAGCTATACTTTTTACTACAGGCCCACGAATCGCAAATCCGTTGTATGAAATGGTCTCACAACGAAGAATGGTTACTCACTGCTGATCATTCTGGATATGTGAAGTATTGGCAAGCTAATATGAACAATGTTGAAATGTATCAAGCACATAAGGAACCAATTCGTGGCGTAAGGTACGCTTTTCCTGATTTGGAATCATCTTGTTCAGTTTCAACAACTTTACATAAAACTATGAAATTTAACAAATGTCTAGATTTGTTTTCAAAATTGTACTGTTTATTTTTAAGCATAAAATACACCAGTTGTGAAATTGTAGGCCTAATAAAGGTCTTATATATATTGCTCCCAGCTTGGGTAATTCCAGTTTTATGTTACTTTTAATGGGATATTTTGATAAAATTGGGGAGTGTTAAGACAAGTTGGTTACGTTATTAGATTGTAAGAGACCTATTCACTTTATCACTTGGCTTTTAGAGACGCAGAGGAGTTTAAATGACAAATACGTGTGTCTTAAAACATTTTCTCGGAGCTAAAAATGGTTCATGTTTAACAGGCAAATATATTAAAATATTTCTGAATGGCATTACTTGATAGGCTTAAGTGTTTTGTGAGTAAAATTAAGCGCGATAGCAGCTGTTGTTTAGTTGATTGTCGTAAATGTTTTCTAATCTGTAATTACCAGGTCCAGTGACTTAGCCGAGATTTACCAATATTTTCTTGGAATGTATCTGTAGGATCATAATAAAGGCGGTGCAATCCAAATGTAGCCACTGTGTGCAGGAATTTCCTTAGAATCTGTTAAACCGGTTGTCAAAATTATAATAATGAGCTGTAAACGAGTTCGTTATACTCAAGTTGTAGTGTAGAAGTTGGTTTGCGGTTTAAGTATTCTGTCATTTAAACTAGCAAACTAGCGTTGCAAGGTTGAAAACAAGAATATATGATAGTCATAGTTTGAATTACTTGCTTTCACGGAACAATAGCTGTGCGCTTCTGAATATGTTAGTACTCATTTTTCGTGAGACGCTTAGCATATAAGGGAGTTAAATGAAGTGTAGGTTCATCGTATTTTCACTTTAACTATCAGGATATATTACCACCATTGATTTAACCAATACTATAAATCTGGTGTTCATCTTGATGTGCTAATGCGGTATGGCGACTTGGATCGATGCATATATGTGCCTGGTCCTACGTTGTAGCTGACTGACAGATATAGGTAGCCAGTATTTGTTTACCATCGATGAGTGGAACGGTTTGTCTTGTATTTTGTCGAATTCATTGAAATTCATCTCGTACAGTATTGCTCTTAATATTTCTACAGTCCGTTTTTAACCCCTTAATTTGTACCTTTTGTTTATGACTACTACGCTATACATCAAAATAAATCATCCACCGTTTGCCGTATTAATAGCTTTTTGTTTTGCAATCGATATAGAAGCAACTTCTGTTTTATATATTTGGCTCGTTTATATAACAACATCAACTCGTTTATGTTATAGTACCTAATATTTGATAAGACGATTGTAGAAATGTAAATACGAAGGTCTTTAAGCGTCACTCAACTTCGAACAAATTAGTCCCAATCCTTTCAGTGGTGTAAACAGAAATAAATTATCTAAACAGTACTTTTCAAAAATCATGTTCATCTACGGAATATAACTGACTCCTCGTCACTAGGCCTTCCGGTTAAAGTCTCCTGGTTTTTTTTGGTTTTCCTAAACTTGGATTTTTCAGAATCGACAATAATACTGTTTGTTTCTTTATCCAAATACCAGATTAGAGTTTGTAATAGATCTATTTTTGGACGTTGTACTCCCTAGTCCAGTCTGGACGTATTCCAAAATTTCCCTCACACCCCTACTTTCTAGATGAACGGTGTCAGCTTTGTCATGTATATTCATTTACTATGCACTGTTAACAGTTATCAACACCATCAATTCAAACAGGTAGTTATGAATGTATATCATTAAGCCACTGGTTTTGTACATGTTCACCATTAGAAAATATTGGTCTCCTTCCAAGTCATTTCAGAAAGATAAATATATTCAATGGATCTTAGGAAAGTTCTCTGAATTGATATTCAATTCAAGCTTGTGGTAGTTTTTTGGATGACTAGGATTGAATGCCAGTCCGTCCATCAATTTAAGTTGATAGATTCATTGTCGTTTCAGTTTGTTCATTTCGTTTATAGAGTTAATAGAAGTGGTTTGTTAACGTCAAGTATTTATAAATAGCTCAGTTTTAATATCACCAGGGTGTACAATAATTTCATCATTTTGAAGATTGACGCCACTTAAGCTGCCATTCTTATCTTCTCTAGAGGTTTTTACTTTCACTTGTTTTTCAGGACTAGCATATAAATCGGAAGTGTAGGAAATAAAATCTTAATGAAATACTGTCTTTTATCATTTGTAGTTTCTGCCCATTCGACAATAAATTCGTTACCTGCAGTGATGATTCTACCGTACGTATTTGGGATTTTCATCGTTGTGCTGAGGAGCGCGTGCTCCGAGGTGAGTACGGTTAAAATTGTCTTGCCAACATACGCCTCAAAATGAAAGTCAATTAACTACATTCCTAACCAGTTTTTATGTTTATCAGCCTTGGAAAATACAACTCAAATAAGGTTTATGGGATTTGAACAAGTCGTTTGTAAATTTATGGTTATCATTGATAGCAATCGTTGATGCATGAAATTCCAGTTTCATGTGTTTGCTTCATCTCCGCTAAGAAGTCTGGTGCTTTTTGAAAAATCTGTGTTTCAGCAACCGGAAATATAGTTAATAATGATAAAGGTTTACGTATTAGTTCTTGACTAAATCAAAACAAAAGTAATGACTTGTTTATGTATAATTGCGTAGTTGAAGGTTGACACTGAAAATAAGTTCTCTCGGGGGTGGGTATATACGTATGTTGTGGCAATGTCAGCCGGAATAGAGCTGTGTTTGCCATCCACTGAGAGTGCTTTAGGTTGTTCAATCGGTTACAATTTGTTTGTGTGTATTTACGGGTTTAAGTTGTTGACAATCATTTTTAGAGATGATAATAAACACCGTGCTAACAAATTTTAAATTGATATCATGAATAGATCAATGTTAGAAGCTTAAGAATGAGGAGTTAGTTCTGATTTTCGTGTAATTGTTTGGATAAAATTGTACTACTGTTTTCCTGTTCGTATACAATACTTGTTAGTAAGAAAGTTTGAAATTCTGTGATTAAAGGCGAACGAATGATTTTCGGTTGATTGGGAGAAGTTTTAACATACCAACTACTTGTGGATTGGTGACCATCGTATTATTCAATTCAGAAGTCTTATTTACTTGGTAATTAGCAGTCATTTTCTGCTTTTTGAAGATATCGAAATTCTGTATTAGGAATCCGGTTCACAATTCCTGTTTCTTTTCATGTATTCAGTGTCAACGCTAATATCTATATTATTGATATTATTTATATGTGCGCTAAAACGTTAAGTGATACACGTCTGTTCTTGTAGGTATTTCTCGAAATTAACGTTCTCCTGTAACTAATATTTACAGGATAAATTACGGCAACTGTAGTAATTAACAACAGACAGAGATATCCTTGTTTGTTGAATGTTCTCTCAGGTTGTCATTGACTTGGTGTTTTCTAAGGTAGTAGCAATGAACATCTAGACGAAAACAGTTTCATACTTTTAACTACGTTCAGTAAACCGTTCTACATACACTTCAGATGACCTCTGAATATAAGGAAGTGAACTTTCGTTGGGCATGCTTTTACCATGATGATCCCTTCATTATTTAGCTTGGTTTATCTTGATGTTCAAAACATTTTCGGCATGACGAAGGTGAATGACATGGATAGAACAATATCCACTAGAACTAATTTCGGCAATATCTTCGTTGGATTCTCAGTTTATAAACCACAAATTGTAACTAATGTTCAACTTCAAATGTTAACTCAGTAAAACTGAATAGTCCACCATACAAAGTCAAATTTGATGAGTTTTTACCATGAAATATGGTACAGAAAGGAATATGAAAGCGTGCTTTAAATAATAAAAAAGACCATCTATAATGCTTAATTATTCTCCCATACAGTCATACTTATGTACCCATTATGGTTGATTTGATTTCTCCATGCCATAACAGTCTGATCTAACATATCAGTTTTAACTGTCCACTCTACTTAATTTTTTGGAAGAATATCCAATTGGTTGTTTCAAATCAAATGATCCTCTCTTTACCAACTGCTGGTTTTTAAAGTTGACCTCTGATATTAACTTTTAAATTTTCAGCTGCATTATTTTGTCAATAAACATTCATTTTATTTATTATATCACTTCTTTCTCAATAAGTGTTCATTTTAGTAAAGATAGTGTTACCATCTACTGCGACATAGTATAGGTCCTATGTGTAGTAAAACATACGAAACATGTGTTTTTCTTCTAGGTCACGGTTCTGATGTTCGTAGTGTAGCATGGCATCCTGTCCTTTCTCTTATAATATCTGGTAGCAAAGATGCACAGCAACCTATCAAATTATGGGATCCCAAAACAGGCGAATCTGTATCTACATTGTAAGTTATCGCTAAATAAACAAAGCCACTATTGAGATATTGATATGCTTATTTTTAAATAATTTCTAAGACAAAATAGTTCGACTATTCGACATACTAATATTTCCATCACTTCGTTAGGTGTAATAGTTGTATTTATCTGCTAACATTTCTGAATCCCTTATTTTTAAAACCAAATGACCTGTGATCAGTGATTAAGTTTGATGACTGATATGGTATTTTATCAAGCTTAATTGTAGACCAACACAATATGATTATTAGTCATCTCGTTTTACGGGGTTGGGATTTTAAAGATTAGTGCCTTCAAATTGAATTACTATGCACTTACTAGAATTTGGGGTTGTTTGTTGTCATAGTACAGTCTACATCATAATTTTCAGGTTTCCCTCAATGAATTAGTGCAAAAGGTGCTATTAAGTGTTTGCTGAGTTGTTGATGTGTACTCTAAATTTGGTTTAGTTCATACCGTCTCGGGTAAAAAGGTGTATTATGATCTAATTCTGTCATTGATAAAGATCACGTAAAGAAGGTGTTCCCAATTATGAAAGCATTACGTAACAAAGTATACTTCCGAGTAACTAAAAAATACTTTTCGTTTAACTATATGGTGGTCAACTCAGATATTTTGAAACTGTGTGGGCAATGATTATGCGAAATTCATTTGTTCCAGTAGAAGTATATATTGTCACGAGTATCTGGTCGCAGGATCTTCGGGATTAACTTCTAGTAGGTCACATTGTGAACGTGGTCTGAACGAGTTCACTTGAACTGAGACAGATTCCTAATTCAAAGTTGCACACTGACTAGGTGTTTTACAATATTTCTGAGCAATTTAACTTCTTTTATTCATCAGTAATGTACGAAACAAGAATATGGGTATCACTAATTACACTTAACATGGTTCATTTATAGGTATGTACATAAAAATACATGTACAGATGTTTCTTGGAACGATAATGGCAACTGGTTCTTAACTGCATCCAGAGATCATTTAATTAAATTATTTGATCTACGCAATCTTAAATCAGAGTTACAAACTTTTCGGGGTCATAAACGTGATGTCATGCGTGTTGCATGGCATCCATTTCATGAATCCTTGTTTGTAAGTGGTAGCGCTGATGGTGCTATTTTTTACTGGCTCGCTGGGTAAGTCTTAATTTTTTAAAACAATTATATGAGCGGAGAATATTCTTCTCAATAATTTCTCATAAGGTTCTACAATTAGTAATCCATAAAATTGGTCAGATTTAAGTCAGAGAATGGGAATTTCTCAGCAATTTTGACTTTTTTTTTCGTGAAGTATTTGTTGTTTCTTATAATCATTCTTTTTCAATTACACCATGTAAAAATACCGAATTTTCTTGAGCGTTTATTTGTCAGCGACTTTTCATACTATACTTCAGCAGTACAAACTGCAATACAAAACCAAACAATCTTAAGTTTTTAAAAATCAAATATTTTGATTATTTCTGATACCGTACATGACTCGAATGCCACTTAGTAAATGTAATTATTGACTCAGATTTACGCATTTTTTTATGTATTTGCTTTTTGTAAGAGTAGATCATCAAATGGAAACCTTAGTTGGCTTAAAGAGTCTAAACAACGGTGTTCATAGGTTTAGTTCTGATTGGTGAACTACAGTTGTTTGAGTGAAAAGTACCAAATATATCGAGGTGTACTAGTAATGTGTTTCGGTTGGAAAACCAGTAGTTCCAGTAAATTGTTGGTTTATCATCGGAAAGAGTTATCAGAAACCGGTTTTCTTAAAAATCAAGTTGAAGCACAGCTGAGAAATCTCGTCCATAAAGTTTATGATGAGTAACACTTACTTGATTTCTTTCGATTACATTGTGTTTTCGTTACGTTACAGCACGAACAATTGTTGCTTTGCTTCTGTAGGTAATCTCTTGACAGTCCAGTATACTATAAATGATTTATAATGTAACTTTGTAAGTATTAGACTAAGAAAATTCTGTTTGTACAGAGTTGTGAGTCTATATTACAATTCACTCATCAAAATCAAATGTTTTATATCAATAGTTATTGCATAGTATACGTGCTATACTACTTCAGACGTTTTTAACTGCACCAACCAGTAATTATCTGTTAAACTTAAGTGAGAAGTAATTACATGCAGTGACTAGTTTTTATACTAATAGTTTGTAAAGCTTGTTGGTTTTAAAATTTATATGATTATATTCGCCAAAATAGGACGGATACTGAACTTGGAGCCGTAGACAACGCTCATGAAAGCATGATTTGGAGTCTCGCTTGGCATCCGTTTGGACATATTTTAGTTTCCGGGGCAAATGATTTTGCCACGTAAGTACTTTTCAAAATTATATGACTCATCACTTAAGGTTCTTATGCAATAAAATACCATTGTAACTTGGAGTGACTTGGTCAGATTAATAAAATCAGAGTCAGTTTAAAATCTGGTACATGTGTAAATCGGTTGAAATTTCCATACTGCATTAACACAACGAGATGAATTTGTTCACACAGATCCCATATTAGTATGGATAGTAACGATATTAGTGGTAATAAAAAAATTAGGCAACGAAGATACGATTCAAGAAAATATAAATTGATGAGAAAATGATTGTGATGAATTTAGATATTTGGGAACTAAGGGAAGATAAAAAAAGAATGCATCTGCATCACTGCAAACGATTTTGAGCCGTGTTGTTTAAAATGTTTAGTTATTGGTTACGATAACCACGCAAACACCAATCAGGTAGTCTGTACGTGTTAACATGGCGCAGTTCAGTTATCAATGATTTCATTCGCTAATTGGTGACACGTCTTGGATTAGCCGCCCCTAGCTTTGTACCAAACAACACCACTCGTCGAGGTAGGTAGAGATTTAGATCAGAAGAGAATTCTCAGTTCCAAAGTCTTTTGGATGTAGTGTACATTTGATTTACCTACAGATTGTGATTAGCTATATATAATTGGTGTATAATGCCAAACAACTTGTTAAATAAGTTCCTGTATTCTTCATAACTATGATATCAGGAAAACGTTATGTAACTTAACCAGTCCCTCTCTTTCGATGACGGGTGGATAACAGTGTAGTAGTCAATACCTCGTACTGCAAGAACTTAAAAACTTCGCTATTTGTCTTGTAATACATATGTAAGTTTCCTAGCTAGTTGTCTCAAGACAACTCAGGTGGCGGGTTAAAAAGTCAATTGAAGAAAAACATAGCCCATAGAGTAGGAGTTTTTTATGTAGCTACAAATGGCGAACATATACTGTTTATGTACTTTCTTTTCTTTAACGTTTAAATTCTTTGCTGCAATAACTCTCATTTCATTCGCGTCTGTACTCTACTGTTTTCGTCTTCTGGTAACTTTCGTCTCTTTAAAGTATGTTCTAGTTAGTGCGAATAACCCAGCAGCAAACCCAGTCGTGTTTCAGGTTTAAATTGATTAGTATTATCAATTTTTAACACTAAGAGCTTTCAATCTTAACATTTCTTACTTTCTAGAAAATTCTGGACCCGCAATCGGCCAGGTGATGTTCTCAAAGATACAATTAGTGCAGTTGGTCCAGATAACCTTGTTCAAGCCGTCAGTGCAACGAATATGTTAGCTAATACATATTCATTTGGAGACCCAGAAGTAGTCGATAATTCATTTAATATTGACCTGTTTAAATTACTTACGGAGACACCTATCTCCTCCAACCGGATAGATACTCTTGATGATTTAGCATTTTCTACTAATCCAAATGACTTGAGCACAACTGAGATACCCGGACTTAATGAAGGACCGGTAACAGATTTAAACATAACTGATACTGATGATCCTGAAGAGCGCGAGAAAAACAAACTACGAAGTTCTCGGACTATTCCAAAGGAATTCGCTGCCAACTGGGCAAGTACACGGATCACAGCAATGCCAACAGTAATGATGGCCACACCTAGTCCGTCAGCAATCGCTGCTGCAGCCGCAGCGGCGGCTGCTGCTGTCAGCAATCTAAATGCAACGCCGCAGTATTTGCCTCCAGTTAAACCACCCGCTTTGAATAAGGACAGGCTAGCGCAAAGTGCTGCTCCAATCAACCCATCAGAACCTGAAGCTATCGTAGATCAAATACAAGATAGAGGTTTTTGTAAGCCCAACCAAACACCCTTTGTTGAGCAACCAATTAGTGAGATGAACAATGGCGTTTCCACTCATATGTATGACCAACCACCTTTCTCAGAACCACTGCCACCGAGGGGTTTGGAACAACATGTACCGATTCCTGAACATAATGTAGACATCAGAAATAATACAAGTGAGTACCTTGAATTTTTATATTATCTGACAAAATGGATTGTCATATAATATTATCGATCCCATCCTATTTCAAGTAATGTAATTATCCAAATCTTAGCAATCTGGAACAATCATCGCTTGCACTATAAAGGCATCTAGGTTTCTGATTCATTTTCATTACTAACACTAGACTATCAAAAGCGCGTTTCTCCGTGCCTCAGGGTACAAGGTTTTAAAAATCAGGAGAAATAAACGGCACCATGTGAGACAAAAGTAACTAGGAATTATGCATCCAGATGTTATTAAGTTTACTTATAGGACTACCGCCATTTAGTCACGTTTCCACTGGGGCAGTTAATTTTTTAAATTACGCCAAAAACTACATGCAGTGGCGATCTTGAAAATTACAAACATAATATTTGATAAACATTTCCTGTTATATCCCAGTGAGTAGAAAAATTGTATTTCTGAAGTTTCGTGACTTAATATAGACCAGTCCTTCAGAGTAAATAAACAACCGGACTAAATTAACACAAGTTTAGATAGTACAAACGAAACAATGCAGAATATTTTTAGTGAGTGATGTGTTGGTCAGTCAGTAACAACGTGGAACTTCGTACGTACGTACATCAGTTCGAGTTGCCATACCACATTAGCACAGAGATTCAGTTATCGATTCAAATTCCATAGTGGTAGAGGTACTGAAAGTATAAGTAGAGATAGGGAACATTGAGGTTTGATGATGTTATTAAAGGAGTATAGTCCAGTGGAATAAATTGGGAAAGAAAATAAAGGACATGAAGGATTCAGAAGATTAGAGTTTGAGAGAACACAAAGAGTGGATGCACCTGCGCCATTGCAAACGATTTTGAGCCATGTCATTCAAGGTCTCTAACCATCGGTTACTATCGTCTCGCGGTCCCCAACCAGGTAGTCTACACCTACCAACATGACTCAGTCCACTTGTCAGTGACTTCATGGATTTGTGCCATGTTTTGGTCTGGCCACCCCTAGCTTTCTTCCAACCTACTCCTACACCATAAAACATAGCACGTCGGGGCAGTCGGTGGTCGGGCATGCGCAACACATGCCCCAGTCTTCTCAACTGATTAAGTTTCACTACTTCATCAATTGATTTGCCATCCTTACCTAGTACCCGTTTCCTAACAACTGAGTTACTTACTCGGTGGTCCCAGGATATACGAGCAATGTTTCGAAGACACCTATGGTCAAATACTAGTGACCTACGAATATCCTCTACTCTTACTGGCCATGTTTCACTGCCATAAAGTAGGACGGAACGAACTGATATGTGTTGGTATCTTTTGTTATCTTAGCTTTTTTAAGCATATAACCATTCAACTTGTCTATGTATGAGATAGGACTGTTATTGCCAAGTGTTAATGATACTGAGTGTTCTCCTTACATTATCATATAAGCATTCATGAAATGTTAACCAACTTTCCCTACCAGTAGATAACTGAGGTGTAATCTGCTTTTGTTTGAGGTTTAGTTTGCCTAAAACATTTCCTATTCTTGGGATTGATACTAGGTGATAAGTTCTGTATAATTCATGATATGAACTGCATTCATTCTTCATATTATATTCAAATATTACATAATAAAGTTTTACAGATCATCGAGTTAGTTTATCTGTATGATATCTGCTTAGCTTAATAGATGAAAAGTAGGAAATTTGTATTATTATTTCTGTGCTTACGAATCACATTGTGTTGAACTATTGTTTTAGATCCATCATTAGACTGGAATCAACGAAATGAAGAACTCTCCTTACAAACTGAACACAACGCACCTTTACAAACAGAACAACCAAACAATTTATACCGCGAGCCGTTCAGTGGGCATCCGCAACTGTATAACGAACAAGAGAACTTTTTGGAACCAAAGCCATTCCTCAGACATAGGGAAGACAGAGATTACAGAGATCATGAACACAGCGAGCAATTTAACCGGCCCTTCCTTGAAAATGACCATTACTATAATGGACCTCCTGGTGGCTTCAACAGTGGATCATCACATGGCCATCATAATCGTAATATGATTCCTAACGATCAAATACATCCAGGAGAAAGGGGTCGACCATTTTCTCCTAATATGGAGAAATATCCTTACGACCGAAGGGGTGACCGACCTCCACCGATGAGGCAGAACTACGATGAAGATAGTTGGGGTAGGAGATGGCTAGACAACAGGAACACTCCCGATCGGTTCGACTATCCCCAGGGTCCACCTAGACGTCCTCCGCGAGAACACAGGCCGCCACACCCAGATTTTTACCCTGATCCTCGACATCCGCTCCCTCCTAACTTTGTCCCTCCACATAAACGGCCACCTCCTATGGGACCTGGTGGTCAACCGCCTGACCATATGAGAAAATATCCACGACAAGATCCTTCTCGAAGCAAACCACCATGGACTGGATACAGTCGATGGTAGCCCAGAATTAAACAATCCTTGTACAGTCTGAGCAGCACCGACGCTGCTCTTCTCCAGTTACATTTTTACATTCTTAATAAATGCTTTATGCACATTAAACTTGTGTAAACTGCTTTTTTTTAGCATGCTAGCTGTCATTGGGACTTCGGACGTACACTCATAATCCGTACTAGTATTGTGTACACAAGCTAGGGCAGCATATTTTTGTAATATCGATGCAAGTAACTTTTGTCTCAACACCGGAGGAAAAGTCACAGACATATCTGGCAGGGGATTTTCGGATTGAGAATATGTGGGCCCACAGTAGTTCACTGCTTTATTCATCTGGAATAGCAGAAGTTTGTTCAAAAACTAAACAATGAGGGGTGGAAAAATTCAGACACTGGGTAGGTTTTGAATCGTCTGATGAACATCAACTTCCTTGATAGCCTGTAAATTTGCCGTACGCAAAACCGGAAATAAGTGTAAATGAGTGGTGCTGGTTTTTCACACGATCTAAATGCTTTATCAGTGTAATCGTAATTCGTCCGAGTAAATTGGTAACGATAAACATAACGGACTACTCAGTCGTACTGCCTAAGTCGCTTTTCACGCATAGCTGTCATCTGATTGGTGTTGTTCTACCATATTTGTGCAGTAATTTTAAATTAACTAAATACTTGCAACTTGGATCTATGTTCAGCTCCTATACTCTACAACTACTAAGTATACTGCTCAAAGTGAGAGTTGTTTTTTAATGATTGAACAGAATCGTATACAGTGTAAACTGCTTAACGCAACATAAAAACTTGGAATTAATCGACCAGTTTATTTTCTGTCGTCCAACTAAGTATATGAGCGGACCAGTCCTTCGTATCATTTTACACTCACCGCGTACAAAACATAATGAGAATTTCGCCTCTGTAACAAGAAACCATCTCACATGCATCAGTAATTCCTGAAAAGAGGGAAACTATAGTTATGCTTTTGTCATATCTGAACTTTGGGTCGATGCGTTAAGATTCGTATATATCAACAATTATAAAAGAAGTGAAATATCTGATGCTTATTACGACAATGGCCAATATAAATTCCCTTTTATGAGTGAAATGTAGTAAAGTAAAAGTAAAAGATAGACTATGACGTTTTATAAATGATTACAACATGTACAATCAATCAGCTGTCGAAAAGTAAGATTGAGGAAGCAAATATCCAACTGATTTATTCTAACAAACCGTGACATCATAAAGCAAGAGAAGGATCGAAGGAAAGGGAGGTTAACACTACTACTTCTTAGAAGGTAGGTTTTCCTCGTCTATAATGTATTTCGTGTGAGTTCCACGTGCAACTAGCTCTCCTGACTGTTCGTTCACGAATTTGATTTCGCAGAAGGCCATACGCTTCCCTTTCTTTAGTATATATGAATCTGACCGAATCCATGAATCCAACTTTCCCGGGTTTATAAATCTTCGGTAATCTTAGAATATATACGTATACAATGACTTACGATGCTTCAAGATTAACGCTGACGTGTTTCATACACCCTAATCTCATCAGATCAACAGAAGTTATAAAATCGATAGCCCCAAGGATGTATCCACCATGTAAAGTGTTTAGTGAATTGGCTTCAGAATTTGTAACTTTGAACCTACATGTTAGGCAACTATCTGTTAGTGAAACAGCTTGGATTCCTCTGAAAACCTGGTTAAATGTTCCGTGACTTGTCAACTGTGATATAATCTGGTTAACGACATTCAAAGACATCTGAAATCGGAGTCACATGTGAAATAAAAGTATACAAACGTTTAAGAAATCACATCAAAGTACTATTGTACGTTATTTCTATTTCGTGTTTAAAGTGCAGTTTCTGTCTAATAGTTTAGGTACCCAACATAAAACTATTCGAACAAGAATCTACGCTTTACGGGTCATTGCAGCATACGTGACAGTCCTCCTAAGCGACCGGCAAATATTTTATTAATACCTGGTTACGAGTTTTCACATCAAATCTAACAACCCTAGTTTGCTTATCATTAGACTTTGACTCTATACTTCTATTAATTTCACCCTATCTGAGTAACATAACGAACAGTTCGTCAGTTATTTTTTTGATACGATTTATGTACCACTTAAGTAGTTTTCGGCCATTAATGGCCGAATATTAATTAATATTCTTAATCCGTAATATTAGAAATGTAAGTATTAGTGACTCTTGCTTTATTTCTCATCTTTTCCGGTTTTTATGGAGATTTGATAACAATTTCGCCTAGCCTTGGATTTTAAACTCCAGACAATAATTGTCGTCCTTTAATGTGATTGTTCGAATCACTTGGGTCTATATGTTTGGTTTTAATCTATCAGAAACAAGTCCGTACTTTGTTTGGAGCATTTTAAATTATATATATATATATATATATATATATATATATATATATATATATATATATAACAAGTGCCCCAGCTACTGGGAGCTTGAAGAAGCCACCTCTTATAGTCTCACCGACCTTGAATCAGCCTTCAAAGTTACAAATAACAGGCCGTGGTAAAGTTTAACGCACTTGATTTTGTCTAACCTAAATGCCTTATTTAATAATTCGGGCTACACCGATATTACTTATACTCGGTCTGAGAACTTATAAACGCCGTCATCGATGAATCATTTGAATAAATATATATGCTATATAGAAGTTACTGGAGAGAATTTACGTTCAGATTTGTGTTTTAAGGGCCTGCGGCTGTTGTCAGTTCTTTTCAGGTAAGCTTCTGCGAGTGTCTAGTCTCCTTTTGAATATTTCAACTGAAGGAGTGAACATGTTAGTGATTACCTTGGTGAATGTCCGTTTTAAAGGACATATGATTCTAAACCCTTTAGCTGAAACCTCGTAGCGATAGGCCGTGGTCCTAAAGTCATGTTAACTGTCACCCCAAGATCATTACGAGACCGGACTACGAGCTCTGACTCTTTCTCTATACTGTACCTATTTACCTTTGTGTCACAAATGTGCATGAGCCATTTTTAGACCGACTATCCAGGATGTCTATGTTCGCCCGATATGCACATACAGCTGAGTCTCCTGTTATTTATCGCTAAATATTTACATCGTTAAAGTATAGTAGCATTGGGGACAGTTTTCAGCAGAGGTCGCAGAGTTGATCACCTTCATGTCTGCCTTCCACATATTAAGACGGGCCGGCGCATCTGCCTGACAGACCATATCAGTCATGAACTTGATTAACATGATCTCATGATCATGTTTATCTGTGGGTGGGAGTAAAGATGTTTGACCGAGATCATCACCTTAATTTATGTCTAAATCAAAGAGAGAAGAACCTGTGTAGATCATATCTGGTGAGATACAAAGACAAGGTGGTTGCAGTTTCTAACAACTTGCAATAAAACAACGTTTTAAATTACTCTACATCTAAGTTCTTTAAATTTATTGACGGAGCATCCAGGTTAACAATAATAAAGGTCTTACACCTGTTTGGCCAGGATTTAAGTTTACTTAGGAAGAAGTCCTTCACTACACATTCTGTACTGCCGTGTACCACAAATAATTCGATGTCTCACCGTTTAAATTTCAGCCTAAAATGCATCAATTCACATGCTCTTGATTCATGGGCCAGTTTCTCGACGGCTCTGTGGTTAAGGTAGTTTCCGTGTACAGAATAACCCATCATTTCAACGGTTTGGTCTGTTAGCCATACAATGTAAGAAGCCAAGCAACTGAATTTCATCGTTTTATTGACCCTACATCTGACTCCAGGTCGATCGTATGAATGATAGCTGTGAAAAACATATGTCTACTATCTTCATATACAATCATTGACTTAACTCTCGTTAGTGAATAACGGTATTAAAATAAATCAAATATGAGATCAGATTTCCAGTACGTATATTTCATTCAATCATTTTTCCATGCAGACGATCACACGAACGAAGCGATATGAGGTGATACGCCGTAAAGATTGCATGTGAGTTTACTTCATTTAATCAACTATTAATCGATATTTATAGTCAAATAAAAGTAAGTTACAAACATGTGATGAGTAATATAGGAAATAAGCACACATATATATGAAGACGTATATTCCGTGATTTTTTGTAACCACATTTTTATTCAATAAGTTTTCAAGTTCTGTCATTATATTCAATAAATTGTAAACATTTGCATAGCATAACTTCAGTTTTATATACACTGTTTCGTGTACCACATAAAATGGTTTGGGATCGTTTTACTTCGAACCTTTGTGATGTGAGAATTTCTAATCATAAGGATTTTTTACCATTCTGGCAGAGCTCGTTTAATTCTACCTCTGCTGATCGTCCCTTGATATGGTCCACTAGGCCTCTGTCTACACGAACATATTTTACAGATCCAGCCAGCTTAAGTGAATTTTCCAGAATTATTGGTTTCTTTCTTTGACAGAAGCACAAGCATCTCCAGAGACGGCTTTCCTGTGCACGTTCGCAATCCACTTTCTGTTCTATTCTATAAAGCTTATGAATGCTAACTCTTCATACAGTTTCTGGAAGTAGCTTGGCTATTAAAGACTTAATGTGATTTGGATCGTTTTCAAGCCTGGCGTTTGGTCTCTTTCCCGAAGATTCTTACTTCTGAGAAATGACTGACCACTTTGAGAGGTTTATTTTGAAAATGTTTGAGGTCTTGCTTCTAACCTTTCCGAATCTCCACAGTTCGCTTCGGCGACAGCCCTTCAGACCTAGCATTTTTAACGTCATTTCGTCTCTTGATTATATATTCTACACCGTACTGGCCTTGCTCCCTGAAAGTCCTCTTTGCGTTGATATTTGGATCAAGAACTGGAAGCATCAACTGACATATTTTAAAGCCTTATGTAATTTGCTTCTTTTGAAGTGATTTTTCTTCCTTTTAACCATGCCTGCAACTGTGTGTTTGTCATTGACTACGTTATGGGGTTCCAACTCCAAGATTTAGTTCAAATCATACAGATGATAACGCTAGCCGCTTCTTTGAAATATGTTCTCGCTTCTGCGGTACCTGTGCCAAAATTGGAACCATAGAGTGAACTCAATATCAAAACTTCATAAATATAGCTGAAGTTACAGAAAACCTATCTCAAAACAAGTTAAAGTACAATTTATGGCCTACAAATATTCAACCGTGGCTCGTGCTACGTTAAAATGTCTAGTGTAACATGGTAATGAAAGGTAACTAGCACAAATATCATGAAACTTAAGGCGAGAAGTTAAATTCTTAATAAAATAACTCTAACACTTTTCTTTGGCCTGCTGAATGAACGAAATGTTTGATACGACACACTGTTACACTTTGTTCAAATGAACAGGTATTCAGTGAGTGTGTTACTATTCCATAAAACATTTGAATATCAGTGGGTTTGGATATACTTTGAAGGCTTTTTTGAATATGAATAACGTGTAAAATAGCTCACCGCCTCCTTACATTGAAATAGATATCAGCCCATAACACCAGTAAGTTTTAAGATTATTTACTTCTATTCTAGGACATACATGAGAGACCATCCTTAAGAGAGGAACTCAGAGTATTAAACTTGTTAGGAAGTCGTATTATGAATACCATCTTTTTTCGCATATTTTTGATGTATTTTTATACAATTTTGACTGATGTTTTGCATCTGTTTGGCCGTTTTCGATTTTAACTCTACAACTCCAAATGTTGAAGGTTTGTCATCACTAAGAAGACGTTTTGATAGTTCACAGTTTAGAAGTGAAATCTAATCATTAACATCCTAAAATTTTGATTCGATTGTTATTTAGTTCGATGAGTCAAAACTTTTATGCGATCATACTTTGAGCAAACTAGAGTGGGAAATTTATAACTGACAGCTGAGTCGAATGCTTTTACGGGGTCTCCCAAAACTTAGTTTCGAGAATATTTTCGTGTTTGCAACGATAAAATTTCCGATGTTTTAGGTGTCCGTTCCAGAGTAAAGGAGGTTCTTCTCTAAAACATTTGCTATTTTCCTGTGACCCTCATTAATAGGCCGAATATTCTAGTTATAATTTAAACTATGGTGCCAGTAAGACGAGATGGAGTAAAGTTGTTAACTAAATGTCTGTACCTGACCTTTAAGACTAAACCAATCACTGCATTCTTCCAAACTCCATGTAAATTTGATCACTTTGAAAGCGTAACGAAGTGTATTGTATGATGTTTTTTGAAGTTTTTTGAACCGAATTCCACCGAATATAAACACTGGTGTGTTTTATTCTTGTTGATTTCTTCAGATATATATTTCATTGATATTTTGTTTCCATTTAAACTAGTATGATTTATATTTTATTGTACTTTATGTCTTACTTACGCATTCATTGAGTTTCCATTCTATTTTGTAACTACATTTGCATTGTTTTTTAAATATTTTGTTATAAATACTGAAATATTAGTTCAATCTCACTTTTGATTATGTTGCTTGAATCGATTGAAAAAGTTTGTTTGATCGTGGATTTGTGGTGGCATTGTGTCACAACTACAAAATCATCAAAGCTGAACACGAGACAACTGGAAAAATAG